GGCGGCGCCCCGCGCAGGGCGAGGCGCGCGGGCGGGCGGGAGGCCGGGAGGGGAGGGCTGGCCTGCGCCCCTCAGCGCCTCCTGGCCCTAGCCAAGCCAAGTTGTAACGCTAGTAGTTGGACAAAGCTCCCTTAAACTGCCCACCCCCCTTTAAAGTGGACCAGTTTTCTAACCTCAAGTACAGGACCATGGGGTCTGCTGCGGACCTATCAATGCATGGCTTTAATAGCTGTCACCTTCAGGCCTCGGTTTCCCCATCTTCTCATGCAGACATTGGATAAGATGATGGCCAGGTCCCTGGGAGGGAACCGGAGAGTGGGGTGTGCCCGCTCTGTGTACTGGGGTACTCAGGTAACGCGGAGAACCCGGCTACAGACCCTGGCAGGACAGCCCCCAGGAGAGAAGGCCGACCACCTGGCTTCACCCACACCCCAGTGCCCGCGAGCGCTGGAAATTGTCCTGGAGTCACCAACCGCGAGTCCACACTTCCCTCCCGCGCCAGACCCCAAGCTCGTAGTTGCCCCCTCCTCCGCGACCAGAGCCTCAAGCGCACCCCAAGAGGAGCGCTCTCTTGGGGCCCGCAGCGGGCTGAGGTTTAGGGCGCAGCCGAGCCCGGTGCCGCCAGTGGACCCCCCACCCCCACCCCAGCCCCAGACCCCGCCTCCACTTTGTGTGGGGTCTTTTTTCAAGAGCGAAACCCGGAGTCACGTGTGCGGGGTCCGCGTGCGTGGCGCGTGTGCCTACGCGAGGCGGGGGTCTCCCGCTGGGACGGAGGGGGCGACTAGATGTGTTGCCGTGCACTGTGAGCGGAACCCCAGTCGAGGCTGTAGGCGGCCTAGAAGGCTGCTTTCGGGTCCCCGGCAGGCCCAGGCCGCGCCGGCTGCTTTATCGCCTCCTTCCCAGCACGAGGCGGGAGGGACAGGGACCCAGGGGACGCGCAGCCCGGAGTCCAGCCCTGCAGGGTGCGTGGGGGTGCCTTTCTCATCTAATAACCCTGGCTTTGGGGAGCTTTTCCCTTTCCGGCCCTCAGTGTAATTTTCAGTGATAGTCATGAAGAATAATCATGATGATACATTCCGCCTTCTTCCTCATATTACAACAAGAAAAGCCAGAAGAGAGAAATACGCACCCAACTCCACTACCGTTCGGGTTCCGGAGAAATTCTCCAATAGAGCAGTGTAATTTCTCAGTTGATTTTGATTGACATACTGTCCCTGGGATCATGTGTTAATCCCTTCTTCACTCAAGCCTTTTCATAACTCATTTCTCTCTTGCTAGATGGGGACTCTGATGGTTACCGAGGCAACGATGATAGCACTAAGCTATTTCCCTCTCTGCAAGGAGACCATTATTCCGCATGCATAGGCCATTTGCAACAGAGGTCGTCGCAAAGTCATCCACAACACAGCACACGTTTATTAAACTTTTATTCTCTTTTTTTCCCCAACACAGAAACTAGTCTGCACTTGTACCGGGGGTCTCATTGTCCTGCTCTGGATGGCTAACAGCTGCCCTGCAGTGTGCAGCCCCACACCTTCTGCATGCACCTTTCCTCTGCCCCATCTGCCTATCCAGGTCGCTTGGAATCATCGCAGACCCTCGGGGTAAGCAGAGGGAACCAATTTCGAGGCCTTACCTGGGGAGGCTCCGCCTCTGCCTAACTTCTAACTAAGGCCACCGGGAGTCCCACCTGCTGGTGCTCACCTCCTCCGCTGGTGTGCAGGTTTGCCCAGCCATAGTCTGGCTCTGAAACCAAAGTACTTGGTTCCTGAAGAGGCTTGGTTGGTGGGTGGGGAGTGTAGCAAAAACAGAACTGTCCAGAGTCATCAGGGAGAGACCCAGCTACCTTAAAGCAATATGGTCCAACCTGCGAGGCCACCATGCATAGGCCATGATAGGGCTGATAGAGATCACTCATGGCCAAGACCTCTGTGTCCTCCTCAGTGCCCCTCAATTCCTTTTGTCTTCCCATCCCCCTTTCCCGGAAATTGGACCCAGGATCATTGCTCTGAGCTACATCTCCAATCCCCCTTTTTTTTTATTTTGAGGCAATATCTTGCTATGCTGCTAAATTTCTCAGGCTGGGCTGTAATTTGTGATCCTCCCTCCTCAGGCTATCAGAGTGCTGGGATTACGTTATAGGCATGTGCCGTGCCACCAGCCTGAAAGCAGTGGAACTTGGGATGGAGGGGGGCTGTCAGCCTCTCCTCCATGGCCTCCTGCTCTGGTTCTGCCAGTTTCCACCCCCACTCCAATGAACATTGTTGTATTCCTGGCTGCCCTGCTCTTGTGCCATCCTTTTTTTTTCTTCAATACTGGGGATCGAACTCAGGACTTTGTGCTTCCCAGACAGGCACTTATGTTGCTGAGCTATCTCCCCAGTCCACCATCTCGTTACCGGAAGCATGTCCCCAAATACCCTTCTCCAGGACTGGCTTAATGGGATGACACAACTATAAACCCAGCACTTGGAAGGCTGAGGCTGAAAGAGCAAGACCTCACACTTGCCAGGCTGGCACTGGGTCGCTGAGCTCTCTCTCCAGCTGAGCCTAGAAGCCTGCTGACTTTGTGGCCCAGCTTTCTACAGCTACACCCCTTCTCAGTGATGTCCTCTAGAAATCACCCTGCAGGCAGGCTCACCTTAGGATGCTGGGTGCTAGAGGCCCCCAGGGAAGGGCAAGGCAGAGGTCAAGAAGAGATGTGGGGCCGGCCGAGTGGGCCGTGTGGGTGGCTCACAGGCTCTTTAGAAAGGAACTGAGCTCAATGAAGGCCAAAGTGGGGCTGAGCTGCAGAGAGACTTCCTGTCTAGGCTCTTCTCACCTGGGAGGTCAGAGGGTCAAAGCAATGTCCAGGCCCTGAGTGGTGACCAGAGTGTAGACAGCAGGACCTGGCAACCTGGTGTGGGTGAATTGCTGCTGGAAAAAGACTCAGATCAGAGAGGAAGAGGGGCAGTGTGCCGGCCAGGTCCCAGGGGAGCCAGGACTGAAGTAGGCCCTCTTAAGCCAGGGTCCTCCCGACTTCCCCAGCTAAGTGAGTCTGTGCTAAGGCGCCCCACGCCACACACTCTATCACCAAACAGACAGAAATTTTGTCCTAAGACAAAGGCTGTCCAAATTACTGAAAGTGTAGACCCTCACACCAAAGAGAGTAATGGTATTATTATAGAATAACAGTAATCCCATCTCTTATAAACTAAATAGGTTACAAGCATTATCTCACTGAATACATGGAACATCCTCTAAGACAAGCTGATCCCTTCTTTGTAGATGTCACTGTCTAACTATGACACCAGCGCTCGCCCTTGCTACCGCTCCTTGAATTTCCGTCTCTCCTTCCAGCACGTCTCAGTGTACATCGAGGCATGGCAATAGAGCCAGCGCACTTGGATCTCTCCAGGCATCCTCCGCTCCTTCCTGATTGGTATCCTGCTAAGCTTTCTCTGTCCTCAAGATGCCCACAGGTAGACTGGGGAGAAAGGCAAGCAAACAGATCGCTCCTGATGCAGTAAATAACTATGAAAAGTATGGCCAGAGCCAGCCTTGGTGGGACAGGCCTTTTATCCCAGCACTGTGGGAGATTGAGGCAGGAGAATCACAAGTTTGAGTCTAGCCTGAGCAATGTAGCAACTTTGTAAAGATCCTATCTCAAAAAAAAATCATTATTATTTTTTCAAAAGGGCTGAGGATGTAACTCAGTGCAAATATGATGCATTCAAATAGTCCTCGGTACAGAGGCAAAGAACAGAAAAGAAGAAAGGACAGCAGTACAGAAAGAGGTCCTCTGAGGGTATATCATTGTGGAAGTGCTGATGCCAAGGAACGCCTCCACATTTTCTGCCGGAGAGGGCAGCAGGTCTGGCTCCAGGATGAGGATGTTTCCAGAGCAGAGGAGAGAGCTGGCGCCTGACAGCAGGGCAAGGGGAGGCTGGAGGCATACAGCTGAGGAGTTCGGCATGCAGAGGGTGGGGATGGGTCCTGGCAGGGAGGGTTCTCATAGCTCACGCTATGTGGCGTTGTCCTGCAGGCCTTGGGAACCCGGGAATGGCATCACACGCCACCAGAGCACCAGTGTAGGCCTGAGCAAAGAGGTTCCAGAGTCCCCATTCTGGCAACCAGCTCCCCAGCCCACTTGGACATCCCCTGAATGAAGGTGCCTGCCTCTCCACTTCTAAGCTGATCCAGTAGGTACACAGTAACAGCTTTGCAAGGTGCTTAGGTAAAGGCAGACCGGCTCCTGTGGGGTGGGGATGTCTGCGGGGAGCCACTCTGTTCTGTGGCCTTGTTAACAAGTCACCGTCCCGCAGGGATGGTTTAGCTGCTGGCACAGACCTGAGTGAAGGCCTGGACAGAAGCAGGGATACTCCCTAGGGCCCTGGGCTGGGATGTGTCCACGATGGGAGAGAACAAGACCTGGGGGCCCCTCGCTCCCAGATATATGGCAGGTATCTCCAGCCCCCCACTAATTGATGGGCTCTCTATATATCATCCCCGATAAAGGGCCACTGGGCAGTGGACGCTGATGTTTAGAACATCCTGATAGGGCTTTGTTAACAAGAAGATAACGGAAGAGCAAGATATGTTTGTTTCCCTGCCTATAGATAAACCCAATAGGTCTTTGTTAACTTTTCATGACGGATGGCAACCACTAACCATGATAAATAATCCTGGAACAGGGAACTTTATTTAAAGGGCTAGAAATAGGGCCTACATTTTTTGTTCTCCTGAAAGGGAAAGAAGGATTTGCTTTGTACGATGGAGCATTCGTCACTACATAACAGCATTGAGACTATCTGAAGCCGCTGGCTGTACCTCCAAGCCAGCCTGGTCCTCTGTATTCTTCAGAAAGGGGTATGTTCCCATTGCATTCACACTCAGCAAGCCTGCATGCTGATTTCAGAGGCTTCACAGGCTGGCCAATCCCTGAGAAGCTAATGCACGGGGTCTAGTAGTGACTAGACAGGGAAATACATGCTTTTTTCCGTTTTTTCTTTTGCAGATGAAACCCAAGGCTTTACATGTGGTAGGGGAGTGCTCTTCCACTGAGTCCAATAGCTGCTTTCTAATACAAGGGCTGATCAAAAACATCTGGTGGGTGCTTAAATTTTCTGTTTGTTTGTTTTGAGATAATGTCTCACTATGGAATTCAGGCTGACCTTGAACTCACTTATGTAGCCCATGCTGGCCTCCAACTCCCAGTGATCCTCCTGCCTCAGCTTCCTGAGTGCTGGGATTACAGGCATGTATCAGTACACCTAGTGTGGGTGTTTAGATTACCAAAAATATATTACAGTAAAAGACACATTGCTGTTAATCATTGTGAGGAGACTCCCCCTCACTGTAAATACACTAATCTTGTGCCTCTTGGCACCTCCTGAGGCAGTCCTGGAGGTCTTCTCCCATGAATAGCTTTATGAGCTGTGATCCACAAGAATTGAATGCTGCTGCCAAATGCCATCAGTGGAAAGGCAGGCTTGCAGGAATATTGCCGTGTGTCCTCACCCACCTTATCCACCAGATCAGGCTCTAGGAGACTTCTGGCTCATCCCAAAATCCAACATGACTGTGAAAGATAAATGTTTGGAACCAATCCAGGGCATCGAGGCAGCCAAGATAGCACACCTGAAGACACTCACAAAAGAAGAAACCCAGAACTGCTTCTGAAAGTGGCAAGAACAATGGGATAAACATGATCAGGGTGGAAGGGGGGTGTTCTGAAGAGGTTTCATGGCAATGTGTCTTTCACTGTAATGAATGGTGAAAGATCTAAGTAGTCACTATACATTCTGGTCAGTGTACTCATACTGTATTTGGAAGGGATTTGGTGGCCAGAAATGCCTGTCCCTGCAGTACCTTACAAGTTGCAAAGTCTTACACCAAGCAGAGTACTGGATAAGAGCTTACTTTTAAATGCTGAGGAGATAAGATCACTGTTTTAACTCTTCAAATGTGGTTTTGCTGTGGAGGCACCTCATTCCTCTAGAGATGTGGAGCTGCTGGGTGAAGCTGCTCCCAGGACACACCCCAGGAGCCTTCGTGCCCATTCCATCAGGCCACTCAGGAGTTACAGACAGAAAAGTTTTCTGCTCTTGGAAAAAAATGCATTATTACATCTTTTAAAAGAAGGCAATCTTTTTTTTACTAAAAACATCATTTGAATTTTATCTTTGCTAAAATGCTTGGGAGTGAGGGAGGGGGTCTGACCTGACCTTATAATCTTCCCTAACCTACAGACTAATCAATTTTGATGGAAAAAATGATCCTGGGCCCCGAAATTAACCAGATTTCCCTTCAGTAAATGGAGGTCCTGGATGAAGTGATGTTTCAGTTAATAAAAAGAATATTAAAAGGAATTAATTCTTTTTTTTTAAAAGGATTTTTTTTTAAATTTTTTAAATTTTTGTGGCACCAGGGATTGAACTCAAGATCTTGTGCTTGCCAGGCAAGCACTTATTCTACTGAGCTATCTCCCTGGTCCCAGGAATTAATTTTTAATGTAGAAAAAAATACTATTTGAAAAAGCCGCAGATTATGTATGTTCTGAAGTCCAAGCAAAAGTAAGGAAGATTTTTTTTTCTTTTCTTTCTTTTTTCTTTTTTCTTTTTTTTTTGATGTCACTAATAAGAAAGCGCTATTGTGATTCCATTTCCTTTTCAGTTCTCACAGAGCACTCCAGTTGGATGCTATATGGGGCAGCCTGGTGCTGAAGGCATCAGATTTGACTTCCTAGACTCCCTGGAACCTCGAGCTCAGGTCCCAGAGGGCTTGGGCTCAACCCTTCCTCCTTCCTGGGCAATAAAAAGCATGGAAACCAGGTTATCTCTGTGGCCAACTTTCAGGAAAGACCTTGAAAACGGAGAAGGGGTGGACCTTCCAGGCCACGTGGTGCTTCCTAGAACAGTGGGGGTTTGCTGCAGGGTGGCTGCAACTTATTGGGGCCAGCCAGCAACTAAACGCCACACTGATCCCTGGAGATACGTCAACTCGGGTTTTCATAGAAGGCCATTTAAAAGCCTGTGATAGACTGCCGCGGGGCCGGCTCCACTTACCCCGGCAAAGCCGTTGGTGGCTTCATCAGATTAGGTGCGAGAGGGCTGGGGAATTGGGAATGTTTACTCTCGTGTTGCGCACTCGCGGAGCTCCTAGAGTGCTCTCATATCTTAGCGCTCTATATTTTGTATTCCTGATTAGTGGGTTGGCTTAGGTACAACATGATTAATGTTTCATTTGGGGTGTTTTTTCTTCCTCCCCTCTTTTTTCTTTTTCTTTTTGGCTTGAAGAGCAAGTGCCTTCGCCTGAGCCTCGACAGTCAATTACTGAAATTCTAGCACATTTGTTTTCGGTATTTTTAAAAAACTATACCAAATCCTTACATGAAGCCCAGTGTTTCCGCCTGCCTCCGCACATAGCATTTGTCTGATGTGGACAATACTCCACTTACTATGAAAGATCAGCTCTTCTCATGAAAAAATAGAGAAAGAAAGCAAAGCAAAGCAAAGCAATCACACAATGCCAGGAGGATAAGCAGAGGTCTATGCTCTGGTTTGTCTTGGTGACACGGGCCATCCTCATACTTAAGGAACCACTGAGGGAAGAGCCAGACGGTTGCCCAGGCCTTCCCCTACCTTTGCTCCATGCCTTGTATTTATCTTCTGATGTTTGAGCGCTAATCAAACATGATGACCAGCTGAATGAAGAATGTCCAGGCTTGCCTCGGCAGCACTTATACTAAAATTCAATAAAAAAAATCAACGGGTAAGCTGTGGCCAGCCACATTCTTGTTCCCACGGTCTTACTCATATTCAGAATTATAGTCTTCAGAGTGACTTTTGCATCTAGACTACAGACTAGCAAACACCATGTGTGTCCGTCAATGTGAGGTATATTGAGCTCAATAGCATAGCAGCATCCTATATTTTTACATAAATATCCTTTATAGGAATCTGTACACACAAACTTAGTGGCCTTTCCCATAGACAAAGCAGGCGACTCTTAGATATCAATATTAACCGGTTGCTTTGCAAAGAAACTGAAGGAGCTGTTGCAGCCTGCATACATGTTCCGAATTCAGCCAGGATTTCTGCTGCATTAAATGACTGTATTGTCTGTGACTATAAACTGAAACTTGGGGCTAGCTTTGTTTTGGTAGCCTGGTCATTTGAAACTCTCAGGCAGGATTTAGTATTTCTGTAATCTATAAACAGACTGTCTCTAATGTCTCTAGTAATTTGAAATGAAGTTTAGTGACAATAATTTGTACAGAAAAAACATGAAAAATAACTAGCCATCCAAGAAGTGGGGAACATGTCATCGAGAGGGCTCAGGTTGGGCAGGGGAGGTCGCATTGGGGCAGAGCATTGGCCTAGCATGTGCAAGGACATAGATTTGATGTCCAGCCCTGAAAAAAGAAAAGAGGAGAAAAAGGAGGTGCACTTATTACCTCCTAGATGCTAGAAATTCATGGGAAGAGCTCACCTGTCCCCAGGTTCAATTCTTAATGACTGTAAAAGCACAGCTGAAATTTTTCACTAAAATGTGATACTGTATATAGATGTGGACTCCCGGATACATAACCCCCATCCTTGAGCTTAGTGTGGTGGAAACACCTAACTCTTTCTGTCCACTTGCCTTCTTCTATTTATTGCCAATGAACCCATTCAAATGTCCTTGTGCTGATTTGCACAGCGTCCTACAGCTCAAGGGATGCTGTGTAGGTGGGCACCGTGACCCTTGCGCCTCCTCCCTCCCCAGCCCATGGGGGCCATGGCTACCTCAAGAGGGACCTTGCTCTTTCTTATTCCCTTTTCTCTTGCAAGAGGCAGCCAACTGGGCAAAAACAGCTCTTCTGCCTATTTTTCCAATCTTTTTAATCTCTGTACTACCTTTTTCTTTTTCTTTTTTTTCTTTCTGTTCTTTGTTGCAGGTTCTCTCTGGTCCCTCTTTTCTTCCTCTCTCCTCTTCTCCCCCTCCCCTCCCCGCCCCTCTTTTCCCTTCCCTTCTCTTCCCTTCTCAACTTTAAGCCTATTCTTTACATTAATTTAGTCAACTTCACATTTTAAACATATTTAGTTTGTGGAGGTTTCATTCAGGTTTTTTTTTGTTTGTTTGTTTGTTTGTTTGTTTTGCATTGGGGATCCATCCAGGGTCTCCCAGGACTTCCCTTCTCATGTTAAT